TTCTTATTAAAAGGGGATCCTTCATTTAGTACAACACTGTTACAAGTGTTCTTGATCTCCTGTCCTAACAAATTCCTCTTGTCATTCCCTAATGTAAATAGTGCTTCACAGTTATAGGTAGAGTGTATGGCATAATGGCTGTACAGTCTTGGCAAGCACAGAGTTGACAGCACTAATTTACACACAGAGTTGAGGATCATGGAATATTATTAATGTTCTTGCATATATATGTAAATATAAGCAACTGCAAAGGAACTACTATTGAAAGTGACTTGTACAAGTCATTACTGAGGTAAAATAATTATGTGTATTTTAAGTATCAGCATTCTTTTCCAAACAATAACTCTCCAGTAAATTCAAGTCTCATGTCCTCAGTGACAAAAAAGGCATAGCATCCAATATGCTAATGAACAAATATGTATCATCATCCTTTTAGAAAGGACCACTTTAATTAGTCTTTGGTTTATCTCAATATATATTTTTTTTTAATTTTGTTTCTGGTTAAGTCATGATTAAAAGCAGTTCATCAATACTTTTATCAGGTGGAACTTGTGAAAAAAAATCTATGTTGCTGAAAGTCAGTTTGTACAAAACTTCATAAAATGGGAGTTGTGAGCCTCATAGCTTTTAAACCCATTTGACTTTTTTTCATAGATGACTGTTGTCAGTTCTCACCAAATGATGCCTACATGGTAGATATACCTTCTTCTTTTGTTTGCCATGGTACCTAAATATGCTTAACATTTTTCAGACCCTGTCCCTTATCCAGGAAGCCCCAAGAACAGCTGGGGAAGGGTTCCTTTAGCAATATATTTGCTTTGTAAATATTTTTTTACTTTCATACCTTATTTACAGATTCCTTTTTGCACAGACACAAGTATTTCCAGACCAGTCTGCACTGCCTCAGGCTGCACCCAACCTACACTGCTTTACTTTGTGCTAAAAAAAATAAAACTAACCCTACTCTGCAACTGGCACCCTCTTTTGCCTACTTATAGTGGACCTATAGTAAAGCAAATACTGTTTTCCCCAAAGGCTCTCTTTGCACTTAAGCATTATCTTTCTGGGCTGAGAAACAACATGGTATCAGTCACACAGACCTGCACTACTTGATCTGCAGGTACCTAACTTCTTTCTCCCCCATGGCAGGCTTACATCTCCCTAAGTGTCGTAAAATTTTTTTTCAGTGGTGTGCAACCCTTGACCACTGCTTGAGTCTCAGTCTTAATAACCTATATTTTATCCCTAAAAGGCTGCATAACACGAGGCTTTTGGTAGCACTTTTACTGTTCCTACACGGAAACAATTCACATTACCCCTCTTCCCCCAGACATTACTCTAGCTGCTGAATTACAAAGGAAAAAACAGAGCAACCTGCTTTTTTGTTGGTCCTTCCACTGTCAGGCTGAGTGCCCCTAACATGCCCACCACCTCTGCCTTTCAAGTGAGGCAGCAAACACCTCCCTCCTGCAGCTCTAAAGGGAACTCATCCTTCCCTTTGCCCTGTCCCCAGCTGGCCTGAGGCTCGCCCCAGTGCCGGGGTGGAAGAGCTGGAGATGCACCGGGGGCCATCTGCCTCCTCATGGACCAACTCTCCCGTCCCACCCACACAAGGTGGCACTGTTGGTTTTCACTGTATTCATGCACTCTTCCACCTTCCCCAGCACTAACACTGATTGGACTTAAAGGGGGTGATTTTCAACCTTCTTCCAAATCCCTACGCTTTTCCTAATTGAACAGTGGACCTACTCAGACATTTAACATGGGGAGACTGATTTGTAGGACTTGTTTTCCAGCCCCATTCCCAGCAGTCACCAAAGCAGTGCCCTACAGACCCACAGGGCTGTAGACTCTATGTTGCTGGTAAAGTCAGAGTCTAGTAAAAGCACAGCCTTTGAACAAGCACAAATAGAGATTCAGATATTTTAAGACTATGTTAAAAAAACCATGGTAGAATAGAGATGTTTATTCTTTTAAAAATGCTAAATACCTTGAATTAAATTACATTAAATAATTCCAAGTTGCAACTGTGATCAATACATAAATATATAATCCACATATATTATGCTTTTGCTGTGTGCCTCTATTACTGCTTTTATCTCCCCTATTATACTATTGCTTTCTGATTATGCATATTCTCAAAAAACTTGCTTATATTTGCTTGGGAGGGGAGTATCAACTTGATCTGTTTCTTTTGTGTACAATATTCTTCCCTGATTCTGCCCACTTCAGCCCATTTAAAATTTCTAGCAATTGAAGGGAGAGTTTGTTTGCAAAGGAACATGCAAAGAGCTGTTTAAAGTTAAAAGCAAGTTACAAGGGAGTTAGTTATCCCTCAAAACAGTTACATTTTCTTGACACCTACACCACTCAAGTGATCCTTAAACTTCAAAAGTATTGACCAGCTAAGAGCTCTAAGACTTCCAAATTGCCTTTCACTGACTGGCACCTACTTGGCTTTAAGTGTTTTGCCCAACCTTAAATTAGGCCAGTTGAATTTGCCAACTCAACATAACAAATTACTAGATCATTATAAAATCTCTATTTGTGATCAAGGGTTCTCCTTTGAGGAAACACAGCACTCCCTAAATAAGGATCAAATCAACAGCAAATATGATTGAAGTCAGATGAAAGTGATAGTAGCTGTCAGTTGAACACAAAAGATGGATCCTGATTAAGAAGTTGAAAGCAAAGAGTAGTGAATGCTCCCTTTGTTCATATATCCAGAATGATTCACATACACTGCTACCCATTTGCCTTACCAAAAAATCACTTCTCTCATGCAAAAGAAAAACTTGTGAATTTCAAGTGAAAAATAAATTAAATGTAGAAAAAGATTGTTATTCCATCACTTTTCCACTTTAAAATACACCATCTTGAACAGAAAAACAGTGCTACTTGTCTGCTGATAACTGGTAGATGAAGAAGGAGACTCATTCCCTATTGCTGGCTGCCAGTTTTCAATTCCAGAAAAGTGGATCTTAAATATATAAATTCAGAAGTCTTCAGAACAGAACATGGGTGTCAGATTCCTAGAAATAAACACATGATTTCAGCAACTTCTGCCATGCCAGAGTACAAAAGGGACAATTATTTTAGTGTTAGAAAAAAAAAAAATCCTTTAAGCTCAATCCTCTAAGAATAACATGACAAAAGGATAAAGTATCTATAAGGAGTAATATCCCACAAGTAAACCTTTTCCAGGAAAATGGTAGTGAAAGGCCCAGCATCCATGCCTAAATTCTGGCAGAAGAGGCAAGAAGCACCCCCTCAGAATGTGTTTCTGTTGTCAGTGCTGTCCCTCATTCCCAGCCACAGCAGTCAGAGTGGTCCTGGCTACTCCCCAAGTCATATTTCCAATAAGGTTCTCCAAGTATAGCAAAGCTCAGCAATTACTAGGAATCCCTGGATTTCTGTCACTCTCTCTTAACAATTATGCTAGGTTGAGGAGGCACACTGAAATTCTGAGATCTTGTCCCAAAATTTCAAATACAGCTTTCAGTCTAGTGAGAGACCTTCATGGGGCCCCCAGGCAAATCAGGGACAGGGCTAAAAAAGAAAACTTGAGCTCCTTAGGAACAGTAGGGGCTCTATATACATATTCTGAAAGCACAATCTTATACTATTTAAAACTATCTATTTATAAAGTCTTAATGGATCTTTAAATATGAGAGGCACTTCAAAAATTAGCTTGATTTACAGACATTGTTTATCACATGACTAATCATGTAGCATTAGAAAATCAAACCAATAACCATTAGCAAGTACATAGTTAACCATCAGTTTAACCATTAGTTTTAACAGCAGGAGAAAGCTGTATTTTGACTCAGTGCTTGGAAGTTCACTGCAGTCACAGCAGAGGAATCAGCATTAAAATGGCAGGCAAGGCAAAACCCTGTTTTTCTCCAGATCATTTCAAGAAGAAGGTTTAACCTATCATAGTGTTATTTCAGCAAGAAACATGAGGAGTTTTAAAATTATTTTCCATAGAACAAAATCTCTTAGTAGGTCTACAGCAGTCTCATAAGTCTCATGATGCATGACTGTGATACAGTCCTGCTCCACTGACCCATGTGCATCCCTGCAGGGGTGTATTCACCCTGATGATTTATAAATATGGAATCACTATCATTTGAAACAGATTTGTGATTTATTAATGAAATATATACAGATTCAGCTTTGGGAAAACGAATCTTCTTTCCTAATCCAACTTAGACACCTGCTGTTGTGGTAAATAGAAACCTCTCTAATATACAACCAGCATCAGCTAAACGCGGCTAATGAAAGGATATAAAGCGAGGTCTATGCTTTAATCGTTATTCCTATTAGAGCTGCTGGGAGGACCCGAGGCCACACTGCGGGCAGAGCCTAAGAGGCTTTCGGCTCAGCACGCCCCACTCAGACGAGCGTGTGGAACCCCGCCACGGCGAGCAGCGGCCCCGCCGCACCCAGCGCGGCTCCACAGGTCCTGCTCTGCGCCGGCGGCGGGGCTGCGCCTGTCGGCGGTGCCGGGGCCCGGGAGGGATGCAGCCCCTCCTGCGGGTACCGCAGCCCCGTTCTCCATCACTGCAGAGACCACCCGGCCTCCGAGGCCCCGGTACCCGGCCTGGGCGGCGGTAGCGGAGCGGAGGAGGGAGGGCTGCTCCCGCCCCGCTCCGCAGCGGCCCCGGCCCGGCCCTTACCGATGCACCGCACGTAGTGTTTTGCAGGAAGTTTCCACGCTCCTGGGTTTAATCCGTGAAAAGCGGGGCTGGAGAGGAGCGCGACTGAATAGCGATGGAAAGGGGCGGGCGAAGAGGTGGAGGAGGAGGCGGTAGCAGCAGCGGCCGTGTTTAATTTTTTAATTAGGGCGGTTTGAGCATCTCCCGGCGGGGTCGCATCGCCGGGCGGCGAGGGGAGCCCGGGCGAGCTGCCCCCGCCGCCCGGGACCATCCCGTGCCCCGAGCCGTCGGGACTCCAACCTGGACTTTGGACAGCTGGCGCGGCGGGCCGGACGCGCGGAGAGCTCCGCGCTCCGCCACCATGGGCAGCGCGGGCGCGGAGGACAAGGGTTCGTAGCGCGGGCGGCGCGGCGGGGCCGGCGGGCGGGGCGGGGGGCTGACCTTGCGGCGCCGCCCGGCCCGGCCGCACTCCGGCGGGGGCACGGAGGGACGGAGGGAGAGGGAGGCACCCGGGGCGGCGGGGGGAGCAGGGCAGGGGAAGCGCCTAAATCTGCCTTCCCCGGGGTAGCGCAGCCGCTGAAAGCGAAGGCTGGGCGCGCCATCCTACAGCAACAATTGCTTTGCAGGTGCTCGGTCTCTCTCAGCCTCCATCCCCTGGGAAGCAGGCAACACTTTTCCACATTCCCAAGTTAAGGATGATGCTAGTAAACCTTTTATTTTCCTGCATTTCTATATTATCCAAATCTAGACCACGTATATGAATTCACAGCACATAAGCTCTCATCCAATGAAGACTCCAGGTTCATATATTTACTACAGATAAAATCTTAATTTGCAATTCATTCCTTGTTGGAAGGCTGGAAGTATCACAGCTCAGCTGCTGCTTCTTTGCAGGGGAATGCTGTTTATGTGGAAAAGTGTTGCTTGCACCCAGAGTTACCATGCTGCAAAAACACTGTGTGGGGCTCTTTTTGCAGAGCTGTAAGCCATGTCTTCATTTGCTGAGCATCCATGTCCTGGCCTTCCTACCTTCACCTCCCTGAATGTCTTAGAACCCATACCCTGAAGATACAGTGTTCTCCCCAGCAATTTAGAGAATACAGGTATGCAGTGAGCAGCACATGAGTATGACAAGTCGGCTGTGTGGTCACAGTGCTCCTTTTGCAGCATTTCTGGCCACGTGTTATTAACTCAGGTAGCTCAGACTCTTCAGAGAACTCTATATTTATGCTGATTTCTATTTCTAGTCTATTTTATAGGACTTCACCATTGTTAATCTTCTCATTTTACCACCTCCTATGACCAATTTCTGTAATAGCATTTCTGGAATACAGTTTTGTTTCCCTGAACAGATAGTTAAGGGCAAATGAGGTGCTTCCAAAGCTCCCAGAGAATACCTGTTTATATGTCCCTTTCCAAGTTAGGTTTGCTGTTACTCAAGCACAAGCTCAGGACTGAAGCTATTCAAAGTACTTTCAGAATAATCACATCCATGAACCAGCAGTTGGGCTGTAGACATCCAAGAAGAGAACAGATGGCCACTAATGTGGTCAATTTTGTTACAAACTGTCATTCAGGAAGTGAGTTTTTAGGCACCTGAGGCTTAGTCATGCCAAGAGGATGAATGCTCCCAGCTTGAGATCGTGTAAAGACACTAGTTTCCTGAGTACTGAGCCACCAGAAAAAAATCCTGTAGGGGGTTCTGTGAGAGAAGGACTGAAACCCAGAAGCCCAGGAAGATTATTCTGGTTATTTTCTTGATCTTCTTAAGTCTCTCTGTAAACCTGAGAGTAAAGGCTAGGTCTGAAAAAAATGACACCCTGTCACCCCAAACCACCAAAGAGCTGAGGCTGGGATCTTCACACCAAACACTGGCAGAGTTGGGCTGGTGATTCTGCTAAAGAATAAGAGTTTTGACATCTTCCTTCCAGCTGCCTCACAATACCTGGTGCCCATGGTGTTCCCCTTCATCACCCCACAGGTGCAGCCATCACCCCAGCTCATACCTCTGTTTTTCAGCTCAGTATTAAGCTGTTTTCCTCATTCCCATTTTCTTGAAGACTGTTTCTTCTGGCCTCAGTAGGACTTCTAGTGGCCTTTTATTTCACAGCAGGATGTTAAGGAGCCTTTCTTTTTCCCCGTGTTTATATGGGTAATGAATAAAAGGAGGAGAAGAATCCTGACCTGTAAAAAAAAAGATTGAGCTCTGTCTAGAGCTAGCTCCAACAAAATGGCTCTGCAGATTATAAATTATACAATGCCTGTCCCCATGATGCTGTCCTAAAGGCTATCTTTGAGGATTTTGGGATCCAGGCCAGGTTAGTTAGCATTCAGAGTCTTCTGACTCAGGACTTTGACAGATACACTGCAGCAAATGCAAAGGTACCTGACTAACTGGGAGAGGACATCTAACCTGTGTGCAGCACTAAAATGTGAAAGCAATAAAAGGTACTCAAGGTACCACGGGTTTGGGGATACATAATTAGAACAAAATTTCCTGTCAACTTTAAGGCTTCAATTACAGTTTCTGAAATTCAGGACAAGGAACAGAAGCACACGAAGCTGTACATTAGAGTTTCCCAGAACCAATTCCCCCCGCCCCCCCCGGCAAAATACACAGAGTTTTCTCCTGCAGCTTTTTCAGGCAAGCTTTTGTTAAATAAGACTAAGATATCAATTTCTCCACCTTTCAGCATCAATCAAGCTTTGAACAGAGATTTGTCCCATAATGTCTCCTGACAAGCACATAATGTACAAACAAATCTCATCTAATTCCAGTGTGTAAGCTGCAAAATTACTAAGACTGGAAGTCATATTCTTGGAAAATTACTCTGCTTTGAAGAAATGTTATGTCAAACACAAACCTGTTTGTCTGGACCGAGCTCAAATTCAGAGTTCTCCATGTCCAGCCTACCCCTAATGTTCTTGTCAATATCTTTCAAGAGAGCAGTTGGGATTTTTGGGTCTGGCTTTTCCAGCAAGTGACTATGTATAATTTTTCTGAGTAAGCCTTGTTTTTAATTTTTATAACCCACTACCCTAGAAATTTTGGAAAGTATTTTTTTTCCTTGACTGGCTTTTTCTCAAATCAACTAACTTCTAACATAAATTTCTGATATTGAACTTTCTGTAATTTTTTTTCTCCTGCAGAAGGTCAAACTTAATAGAAAAATTGGAAGCATGCCCAATGAAAATCCATATAGCAGGTATTTTCAGAAAATAAATATTGTTGTTGTTGACATTATTTCTAATTCCTATAGGCTGTATCTGGATTTTTCTTCCATCTTAACTGGAATTAAAACAGCATGACCCAAAGAGCAGAATATAATTCAAAAGAAGGAAAGATCTCACACACAGGTCTATAGAATAAACAGAACATTGGTTGTTATGCTCTGGTAAATGTGTTAAGACTGTCAGGAAACATTTAATAGCTACTATACTGAGCTTTATTGCAAAAAAGGAGACATACTAGTGTTTTGCCCTTCTGCTCTTTGTTCTAAAATTTTTGTTCTTTAGGATAACAGTCAAAAACCCCACAAATTTTAAAGTGAGAGAGGAGACACCAAACAAGATAAAAGTTCTGTCCATTTCTGTCTGCTCAGGAATACCAAAAGCTACTTTTACTTTTTCTGTTGTTTTTATTTGTAGGCTGACTCAGAGTATGGCTCCTCTCAGTCATGGCTGCAGTACAGAGCAGAGATACTGGAACTCCCTTTAACCTGGCTGAGCAGTGCAGGTACCTGAAGCAGTGTAGCCATGGCAGCACAGAGCTCTGAGTGGCCTAATTACTCTGCCAAGAAATAAATGGATACTGGCAATTCCCTGGGGAAAAAAGAGGTTGAATTGTTAATAAAAAGAGTTTCCCCTGAGGCACATTCGTTAAATAGGTGTTAGCAAGAGCCAGAAAACCTCAAGTTCTAACCTTAGAATAAAAATGTCTTTGTCCTTTGGCACTTTTGATGTCCCAGCCTTCCAATTCTCCCACTGTCTATAGATACAAAAGAAAGATGTGATTGCAATATCTGATGGAAAACCTAAAATAAAGCAAATGATCCCCACCCCCAACTAAAATCTATCTGTAAGATCTCCTTAAAAAGACAAATACAAGAAGTTTCTCCTCTCTGGAAACACGCAGAGCTCTCCTGGTGACAGCAGTGGGGTGGAGTTGCTTGAGCATCCTGCTTCCCTAGGACACACATCAGGGGCAGATCTCCTGCCTGTGAAAATGGCAGGGTATGTATGGGGAAGACCAAGGAGAAGAAACAAATGAGAGCAAGATTTAGGGGAAGGGAATTTAATTCTGTTATCTCTTCTTCTACCGATCTTTGCTCATACACAAGAGTGGACGTGTATAGAGAAAGGTGAAGGGATTTTAGCAATCTGCTCACTTTCTTACAAGTTCAAAATATACCCAGCATTTTTTTTCTGAAACTGGAGCCCAAGACTTCAGTAAAATTGCACACACAGTCTTTTATTTTACAAGTTGGATCTATTTACGTAGACTCTGAGCTAAATCAAATAAGTAAAATCCACATTATTTAGCTGAAATTGCCTTTGAGGTCAATGCAAGTTTAACTAGTTTAAGCACAGTAAAGCCATTTCAGGAAACATACCAGGTTTCTGCATGTGAAAACCTTAGAGATTATTGCCAAATCACAATCTGTAGACTTGTGCCCAGTCTGACAAAATGCTGTTCGCAACAACTGAAATTTCTGTTTTGAGGAGACAAAGTCAGAAAATTGTGAGTCTGCTGTCTCAAAACAGAGGCCAGTAAGTGAATGGTGTGTAGAGGCTAATAGTTGCAATTTTATCACATTAATTTAAACGTGAAAAAACAGGACACTTCTGAAATCCACGCTGGTTTTCATTTTCAAATGTTCATCTGTTACAGCTCAGACATATGCACCCCATTTAGAGCTAACCACACTGATTTGACGTTTCTATGCAGGCAAAGAAGCAATAGAGGTGAAACTCCCACAGAGCCACCAGGATGTGATGCCCAATGATGAGCAGTAATTACTGCAGCAACACTTCAGCCAGTATGAGTGTCAACGAAATGTCTGCCTTCCCTCTGACTTTAGAACAAAAAACTGGCTTTGCCTTTGTGGGGATTTTGTGTGTTTTCTTGGGACTTCTAATTATCAGATGCTTCAAAATCTTGCTAGACCCCTACAGCAGTATGCCTTCTTCCACATGGGAAGATGAAGTTGAGGGGTTGGATAAAGGAACATTTGAATATGCTCTTGCATGAAAACTCACAGAATATCCTGCCTTAAATTCAATGTTGATTTCATTTTGGAAACCAACTGTTGTTACATTTGTTATACATACCTGCATTTTGAAGATATGTTGGTGGCATCCATTTTGTTAAATAAATATTTGTTGCAAACTCAAAAGGTACTTCATGTTGCTTTTATTTGATGAACAGTGGAATGGTAGATAATAAATGGCTAACAGCAAACAAATACACAAAAAATCACTAGAAGTTACCATGGCCAGTATTTTAAGGATCAGATGATATCTGGCTCTTCAGAGGAGGATCTCATGTCTACTGTGTCTCATGATAGGCTGAAGAAAAAGACAGGCTCATGAATGGTGAATGTTTAAGTGGTAGCCCCCTTCTCTCTTCATCCAATGCAATTCTCTGAAACTCATTGTCTGTACTTGTACACTGAGGATACAAAAGTGGAGAACAACAAATGATTGTGGCTTAGAGGAGGTGCCTGCAGGAGGTGTGTGTCCATGTTTTTATTTCACTTGGTTACAGAAGACGATTCACTTTAAAGTGAAACTTAAACTGTCTGGTTAACAGCTCCCAGCAGTAATTACACCAGCCTGGCAAGGCCAAAGCAGACACAATCATGCTACTTACCCATTTTCACCCAGCCCTCAAGGAGGGCTGGGGTCCAGAGCTCTGTACACTCCAGCACTCTCCACAGCTGGTTCTTCTGCTTGTGCTCCAGCAGTTGTGCACAGTGTATGATCTGGACTGTCACTGATGAACTGGTCATGGGAGAGCCTATCAAAGCAGAAGTGGAAGAGCTAAAGCAGAGATTCAAATCTGGATATTCAAGGTCACCCTCATACACACAGCTGTTTAGCAAGTGTGACAGTACTTGACAGAAATTCAATTCCGTTTTTAAGAAGGCTGGCATTAGAATTTTAGGCACTGTCACTTTTGCTAAACAGATCTGTTTGCAATGAGGAGCTAAGACAAGGAGATCAGTTACAGCAGTTTTCTTTCTCTTGTATTCTGAAAAATACATGTTATTCCTTTTGCCCTATATACTAGGCAGAGGCAGACAGTGGAACAGCAGACCTCAAGTGCCATTTGGAACATAAAATACTCGATTGTACAGAGAAGGACATTAATCTCCTGTCTGAAAAATACAAGAGATGAACAGCCAATATTAATCTACACTAGTCCATTTAAATTATAAAACATAAACAATTTTTTGAATGTAAGGGCTTTCAACTGCTTCATATTATACGTAAGAAAAAATTCCAGACCCTCAGAGATTCAGTATATTGCATTTATCCTAGTTAATTTAGCCATAAAATCCAAGGTAGATATCAGTACAATGATCCATGTGATCTGTTATTGCTGGATAGGATCATCCACTGCAGAGACCTGACACTGCCATTCTTTTTATGTACATCTAATCAGCACAGCTGAGCTCTGGGCTGTCAGGTTAGAGTGCTGAAGGTACTTAAGTTATCTGGGTTAAATATAGCTCAGTTATCTCTAAAGTACACAGCAAACACTGCAAAAATATCCAAAGAACCCCAATATTGTCTTATTTTGTTCTTGACCCAATCTATTGGTGGCAGCAAATTATCTAATTCCCTTCTAATCACCAAGCCTCTTCATTTCCTGCCTGCTCTTTTCTTCATCACAAAAAGACTAGGAAGTCAGCCTTCCCAGAAACGTAACAGAGAACATAATTTTTCAAAGGCTTATTAAACATACAGAGTAAAACTTTAAATAGGGTCAGGAGTAAATGGTTTAAAATTGCTTGTAGGACAAGAGGACCCCTCAAAGAATGATCCCACTGACTTCACTGAATCTTCTGCATAAAATGCACTGAGCAGGTCCTGTCCTGAACTCTTGTTATCTGCATGATTATATATGCAGAACTGAAAGATAGAGAGAGTATGATCTGTGCAGAATCAGGCATAGCAGGGAGGGAAATGGAGATAACAAAAGTATTTTCAGGCCCCCTTCGAAATTTCACAATGCCATAAACCCAGTAATTGTAATGGTAGGTACATTTGCTGGTTAAAAGTTAACAAGCTAGAATGCCTTTCTAAATCACCATCTAGAAAGGTTTTGAAAGAGAGGGATTGGATGGTCTACTCAGTATATTAAACAGGAGAAAAATCTGGCCAATAAGACAGAGTCTGTAGTGCCTCAAAGAGAGGGTCACACTATATGCATGAATAAAAGAGGCAGATTGTCCTTCCCTAAAAACACAGGACTGAATGGTAAGTTCAATTACCCTGAATAAGGTAGACTTGATTATATATGCATAATGCTGGAAAACTAAACACAAAGTTAATGGCAAATAACAGTTCAGAGATGATCTGGAAATACATTGTGAAAACCTAAGTATTATTTTCAAGAACAGCAGAAAGGTAAGAGATTTTACTTTTCCTAGCAAAATACAAATATGGAAATAAGACAGTGAAATGACAGAATCATTTTACTTGGTAGCAAAAGTTTCATTGTCATCAAAGAATCTGGATTTCATTCAGTCATGGAGATGGAAACAAACATAGTTCTGACCTCAGTGACAGAAGATTTATCTTTGCTCCTTCATGCCTGAAGATGAAATACTTCCTTGCAACTTTAAAAGGCTGAAGGAAGCAGAATAGTATGATCATAAATGTGTAATAAGAATAATAACAATAATAATAATAATACAAAGCCAGTAGAAGTAAAATAAACTAAATAAATGTAATATGTTGCTGTGAGGCTTATACAACATTAAGCAGGAAAACTAACACAAATATGAGGACTGACAAAGTGGTGTCTTAGCAGAGAGGTGAGAGCAGAATATTACCTATAGCTGATGGAAGAAATAAGAAAATATGCTGTAGCTGTAACTTATATTGAACATGGAAGGTATCTGATTATCAGCTCTTCAAATTATAATTTGGATATGTGATTTTAGAGACAATTTACATTGCTGAGCTACAAATATTGATGTCGTACTTTATCCCTCCATGCCAAAGGGCCAAATCATTGAGAAATCTAAATTGAAAAACTCTTGGGGGTTCATCTAGTCCAACCTCCTGCAAAAATATGGAACTTTTAAAAAAATGTAATGGGCTTATTTTTCCAGATTTTTGGGTCACATATTTGTTTATAAGATGTATTTTGTTTCTAAAACTTTCTGCTTTTACAAATGCTTGCAGAGTTTCAATGTCTAAGCATGCTTTGGTTTAGTGCCTTTGAACAAGCTGTGCTCCTCCTGAATTTTACAAGTCTATACAACCACACTCCCTAGTCTCCTTAGAAATATGTTTCAAGATAAATGAATGCCATCATTTCAATAGCTCATTTCAGGGCTTTCGAAGCCATACTTTAAATTGCTGCAAAGGTACTTAACCCACTAAAGGCCTTAAATATATGTACCCCTTCTTCTCTTGGAGTTTTTGTTTGCTTGTGTGGTTTTTTTTGAGGAGATCTGTGTGTGAAGGAGGAGGTGAGAAGCAGATTATACAGCTGTGTGTTCACCTCTCCATGGGCTGTCACTCAGGGCAACCTAGACAGGCCAGAGGAATGGGCCAGCAGGAATCTCATGACATTCAACAAGGACAAATGCAAATCCTGTACCTCAAACAGATTTAACATCTGCACCTTACAGGGAGCAGCTCTCCTGGAAGGGATAGGGGGAGCAGGCTACATGGATACAATGTAACATCATACATGATCATGCAATTAACACATGTAACATTGTACATGATCATGCAATTAACACATGAATAGCATGGAGTGAACCCCATGCTATCCATGTGTTAATTGCATGATCATGTTCCAAGCTTGTGTACATGGATGTTCCCCATGTCACCCTGCTCTTTTGTGGGTTTTCATATAACAGATTGAAACTAGAGGTGTTCTTGGCCCATTTACAGCTCAGGCCTTTACCTCCTCTGGAGCTTGTACCAAAATCCTGCTGCTTTGGTTAGAGGGTCAAGTGCATCCATCACAGATGGAACATCTCCACAAGCTCTGTCTTTGCTTCAACTATGTTTTTACTCAACAAGTCATAGGATGACAGTCTCATGGATACATGGTGAGGCAGGGGAGAGGGGAGAGCTTGTGGTGGAAAACTTATCTAACCATGCAAGATAATAGAAATAGTTTATTTGTATCTTTTATAGCAGTAAACCTGCAGCCAATATCAGGAAGACTGCTTAGAGATTCAAGAGAAAATTCTCAGCCCTTCATTATTTGAGAAGCAAAGGTCTGATATGCAACAGCACTAAACCCTTTGCTGTATCTGCAACTGTGTGGCTGCAGCCACAGGAGAGTGCACGGATCAGTGACCCAAGTGTGTAGCATCCCTGAAGATGTCAATGAACAATGCACCAAATGTATTCTTGGATCCAAATGCAAACCGGTTTCAAGTCAACATAATTAATGAAGACCATGACAACAATGAAACAACCCAAGAGGATGAGGGCTCTGACCCACCACATTATGAAGAAACATCTTTTACTGATGAAACACATAACAGACTAAGAATCAGTTACAGACCAGGAAAAAGAGAATTATATGACAATTTCCGTCAAAATGGGGAGAAAACAGAAGCTAGCTTACATCCCTATGATACTCACAGTAAAATGTATTATCTACAAACTTTTGGCCATAACACAATGGACCCAGTTCCCAAAATTGATTATTATAGAAACACTGGCAGCGTCAGTGGGAATAAGCTCAACAGACCAAGTTTATTAGAAATTCATGAACAACTGGCAAAGGTAAGTGAAAAGGAAAGAAATAATTTTTCTCTATTCTATTTCCAGACTGTTAATTCTGTTTATTAATAAGAGAAAGTCCTTAAATTCATGGGCCTTGCCCAAGAGAACAAGTACAAGTAACTACTTACCGTATTTCCTTTGGTAGCTGCAGTTTGTTCTCTGCTCTGTACCCTGCTCAAAGAAAAGACTGTTATTAAAAGGTAATTGTAATGTACTTGATAAGCAGAAAAACATAGCTTAATCTTGTCTAAAAGTATGGATCTACCAAATCTCTTCTGTTTCACATAAGAGTTAGGATGGCAGATGGTGAACGTCAATTCATACTTTAACCAAGCTACACAATTCACACTTATTCTAAACTTGAATTTTACATCAATGCATACTAATTTTGACAGATTTCTCCATTTTT